TGGTGCATGGGTGGGGGCCAGCTGGTTTGCCCTGAAGGTTGTCCTGGATCAGGGTGGGGGTCCCCACTGGGGTGGCTGGACAGCCTGGGTGAGGGGATGATGGCTGTTTGCAACTGGTCAAACACCCTTCCGGGTGTGGGTCCCCACTGGGATACCTGGCCTGCCTGGGTGAGGGGATGATGACTGTTTTCAGATGGTCACACACCCTTCAGGGTGGGGGTCCCCACTGGGGTGCCTGGCCAGTCTGGGTGAGGGGCTGAGGGCTGTTTTCAGGCTGGCGGGTGACTGAAGCTCCCAAATGCTCCTTTTTTTCTTTTTTTAAATTCTGGGCCAGCTTTAGCTCTGGCTCCAGCTCTGAGGCCTCTGCTGCTGAAAGCAGGTACCTGGTTTGTTTGGGTTCTATAATCAAAACACTCTATCAACTCCAGCTCTGAGTTCCGGAGAGCTGAAAGCAGGTTTCTGGGGTTTTGTTTAGCTTCTATATTTGTAACAATGTTTCAAACTGCAAGCTCAGAGGCCGGCAAGGCAGGCGGGGAATGTTGGAGTCCTCCGTCACTGAAGCAAGCAAGCCCCATGTTAGCTTCAATTTGCCTGGCTGCCAGCCGCCATCTTGGCTGGCAGTTAATTTGTATATCTCGCTGATTAGCCAATGGGAAGGGTAGCGGATGTATGCTAATTACCATGTTTCTCTTTTATTAGATAGGATTATAGATATTTGCCTTGCTCCAAGCTGTAAGGCTGCTTGTTATAGAGATAGAAAGTTTTATTTTTTAGTCTTGATTATGGCAATTAACTAACACAGATGGCCACTAAAAAGGTGGCTTACTAAAGACTGTATAGTAAATGGTGCTGATAAGTCCTCTTCTGTGAAAGCTTGCATGTCGTGCATTGTATCTGCCTGGGTACATAAAAGAGTAAAGTATCTGTCTGTCTTTGCAATCATATGAGAAAATCGTGTAAGACCCCAGCCCAGTCTGGTTTGGTGCTCACAGAATAATATAGCACTTTTTTTTTCATTGCTCCATTGGTGAAGATTTCCTAGAAGTTGCAAGATATCTTCCTTTTAATTTTTCCTCGACACTCTGACTTTACTTATGTCTCTCACTTTTGCTTTCCCTCCAGCCCCCATCCACAACAGTAACTTGCTCCAGGCTCACTTCACTCCAGTGTCTAGGAGATTGCACAACACATCTGCCACCAGAACCATGGTTTGCAGCATTCCTGGTGCTCCCTGTGCTCTCAGCTTCCACTTCCAGTCCAGGGGCTGTGACCCGAACTATGATTCCCAGCATTCCTGGTGCTCCCCACACTCTCAGCCTCTGCTTGGGGTCCAGGGGCCACAGAAACCAAAAGGACAGGGGACTCCAGTGGTGGGCAAGCCATGTGGCCAGAGCCACCTGAGAGTGACCTGGGACTCCAGCAGTGGACAAGCGGTGCAGCCAGACCAGCGGGTCCAGGGACTACAGCAGCAGGCAAGTGGCATGGCCAAACCTGTGCCACTTGCCCGCCACCCCCTCCCGCCCCCGGCGGTGCTGAAAGGACTGGGGACTCTGGCGGGGCTGAAGGGACTGGGCACTGTCATCTTGTGGCTATGAGTGCTGCCATCTTTGTGACAGCATGAGGGTCAATTTGCATATTTCCTCTTTATTAGATAGGATTATATATAAATTGCTCAGCCTAAAGCTTTGTGATAAATGTTGAAACAAATATAGGTATTTAGTACTTTTAGTACTTTAGCTCCATGAATTGGTAGAGCATTGAACAGATGGGCTCTAAATTACCCTTTATATTTAAAATTGTAACTTATCCAGTGACCTGTCTCTATGCAGCCAAACTTCCAAGTTGACTTTCACAAGATCATAGTAATTATCAAGAGAGTCTTTTTAAAAAATTTGTTTATTTAGTTATTTTTGAAATGATTTTGAATATAATATTACATATAATAAACATTAATATCTCAATAAAAATATTTTAAATATAATAATATTACCCAAACTATACTAACATATTATAATATCACAAAAGTTCTATTTTAGAATAGAGATAGAAGTAATCCTGTTATTTGCAGATTTTTAATATTTTCTACAACTTTTGTGGAGTCTTTAAATTTAATTTTTTTCCTATCATCAAGAGAGTCTTAATAATTATGTTCATGTATATTTCCTAGAGGTCTTACCTGTTAAAATTGATCTTCCACATCTGTAATTCAAATAAATACCCAGGATGACTAAAACCCCGAAGAGCACAGAATGACTAATACTAAAATAATAAGTAACTTTCTTCTGAAAATTATGCTGCTGGAATAGAATATCTGAAATACAGCAAATGAAAACACAACCATTAGGAAATTAGTAGTGACCACCTAATAAAATACCCCTTCTAATCTTTGGTTGCCCGGTACCATCTTAGTCCAGTTCAGTACTAATATGTCAGGAATGGGGGGGTAAAACAGGGTTATGTGTAAATATGAGGCTTTAGAATGGTTTGGGAACTTGGGGATAGGTCTAAATTTGGGAAAGGCTACCTCTTGGTAATCCAAGAGGTACTTCTCTTTGCTTTTTATTAGCCATATGTGACACATACATTTCCTTAATAAAGAAAAGAAACTGTATTAGCCTCTGACATAATGCACCTTACTGGGAGCAGAAGAAAATGATGACCCTGAGACTATTTCAGAAATTACTAAAAAGTTAGATTGAACACAGAATTTCCAAGGATATTCCTTTTATAACTTTATGAAGAGAACTCAAGAACTTTCTTTTATACACAGAGCATCATATTTCTGTAATATTTAAGGAAAAAAACTCTGGAGTCAGACTTCCTGGGTTTGAATCTAACTATTACCACTTAGTGACAGTGGCAGTTATTTACTTTGGTAAATTATTTAACAACTCTATGTTTCATTTGTCTAATATTTATAAAAAATTTGAGATAAAATTTTCTAATATTGCCAAAACCGGTTTGGCTCAGTGGATAGAGCGTCGGCCTGCGGACTGAAAGGTCCCAGGTTCGATTCCGGTCAAGGGCATGTACCTGGGTTGCGGGCACATCCCCAGTGGGAGATGTGCAGGAGGCAGCTGATCG